TGGAGGGTTCGAAACCCTTAGTTTCCTTTAAGTTAGAAAATTCCAGATTTAACAAGCAATATTTGAAAAATCATATTTCACTCTCCACAAGTCCAAAATTGGAAAACTTGGTACTGTTGGAATCCTCTTTCAAAGTACTAAAAGTTCGTAGAAGACACTTTTCCACGAATGTAAGTGAAAGGCACTCAAATTTTGGCTCAAAGTTGGTAACTTGAATTACCAAGACAGATTTAAGTTAGTTTTTGGCCAACTTTAGAAATTCGGCAAAATTCACTTGTTTTGAACTAACCTTTGAAATTTGGAAATCAATTAGTGTTGCAATCCAAGAGTATAACAAAACAAGCGGAACGAGAAATGGAGTTTCGAGCACCAAGATATAGTAGCTCCAAGTTGCTGAAAAAGTTAAGACTGTTGGGCTATTTTCCAGGTTTAAAAAACTAGATTCAAGGTATCATTTGGTCATCAAGTTGGCATTAGAAATACATCAAACTTGGTACACTAAATCTTCCATGTGTAAACAACATTTCTACTAAGTTTCGTACAAAAACTCTCACGGTAAGGTAGTCATTAAAACAACCAAAGTTTATGAAGAGTTTCAAGGCTAAACTACCTTCTCACTTTTCTTTTGTTTACAAACTTTTTGTACCATGAAATCAGTTTCAAATCTCTCCATTATTGAAACCAAGAGTTCATAAACATCCACTGAGCAATTTAAAGACCATTGACATCCAAATTTTCGAAATAAAACTCCCCAAATCAGATTTGGCCAATTGGCTAAGAGAAAACAAAAGTTTTCCAGATTCGATGAGCAAATTTTGTGACATCATTTGCATATCAAAATGGTCTTAGAATATTACCAAATTTTGCACAATTAAACCTCCATATGAGGATTACTCTTCTATCAAATTTCATTTGAAAATTCACACGGGAAGGTAGTTAACTAAACCATCAAAGTTCAAGAAATTTTCCAAGGTAAAACTGTCTTCTAGCTCTTCTTTCCTTTTTAAACGTTTTGTCCAAAGCAACCGACCCAAATCTGGTTTATTTGTAAAACAAAGTCCAAGGAACATCTAATATAAAGTTTGGTAGATGTCGGACATCAAAGTTCCCAAAACAACAAGTCCCAAATCATTGTTAATTACAAATCTGTCCAAGTGGAAAATTCTATCACTGTAGCAGTTTCAAACTTTGGCCACAACTCACTCAATTCAACTTGGAATTGCACGTGGTTGATGGCGTTGGAAAGCTCTCTTATAAAGCTGAATTTTCTCAGAAGAAACCATTTTCAAATTCCATTCACAAATAGCTCGTTTTTGAGCATCAAGAAGCAATTTCTGTCCTGTCTCCTGGAGAGCAACGAAACAGGACAGTGATATTCAATCGAATGGTGTGGCTCACTCAAGTGGAACCAGAATGTGAAATTGGTACCGATAGAAAGCTAGGAATGTCTAGTTTCCAATGCCGCAAACGGAACTTGATTTCGACATCGGAACAAAGAGTTATGGCCGTTACAAAATGACTGCCTGGGCAATACGGGATTCATTTTCCAGTTTTGCTAACTTTGGAAATCAACTCATTTGACCAACCAAATCATGTTATTTTTCAATGAAATTTTGTACACACTTACAATAATAGATAAAAAACATAATCAATTCATTAGAATCTCAAAATCTGGCACGAAAACGGTCGGACAAGGCAGGGGTAAAACGGTCACTTTTGCTCCAAGCACCTCCTTTGATTTTCTACCAACAATACCACATTAATCTACTAATATAAGCACTAAACCACCATTAATTTCATCATCCAACATCAAATCAGCAACAACCCAAGAGTGGGAGTTCATAGAGCCCACACACACAAATCCACCATAAACAAGACCACCCACATGCATGCAAGAGTTTATACGTGTAATAGAGCTTCCGTAAACTAAGATTCAAGGAGTTGATCGTCCATTACCTCTCTTGATGAACTAGGACAGAATTTCGGCCCCTTAGATGCTCAAGAAAACCGTGGATAGCAGCCCTCTTTCTTAGCTTGATGTAATCTCCAAGTAATTAGCTAAGAGTGGTTGAAATTTGAAGTGAAATGGAGAAGATTTGGTGAAGAAATTTGGATGGAATTTGAGTTGTTTTTCTCCTTTGTTAGCCGGCCAAATGAGGGAGCAAGAGAGAGAGTGTGGTCAGATTTCTAAGCTTCCAAGAGAAGACAATAACTTGTGGCCACAAATCACCCATTAGTCAACTCACATTAGGGTGCGTTTGGCGCGATTCGGCTCAATTCCTCTTGCGTTTGTTTCACTAGTGCACTAAACTTCTAAGGCACTTATATTCATATAAATATTATTCACTCTTAATTGTCCTCAAATAAGGGTCTAAAGTTCCTCAATTGAAATCGCGCGTGTGAAAACGCGTATCTCCAATTTAAGCGCGATAACGCGAAACTTCCGAGAAATTCTTATAACGATAGTACTAATAACTATCACTTGAGTATTTAAACATTAAAATGCCTAATTTAGGTCCATTGTACATGTCTCCAATATTTCAAACCTATTGTACTCTCAATCGATCAAGATTCCAAAGACGTGTTCACTATTTTTACAAAACGAGCTTCCGAAAATTAATTTTTTAAACAAGTCATTTTAAAAATATAATGAAACTATATTTCCATGTAATTAGGTCTCAAGAGCTTAGAAAATAATATTCGGAATAAAAGACCAAATAAATAATTAAATAAGCTAGAAATAGGAGATTAAATAAGCAAATTTTTGCGAGTCCTCACATACTGGGTATATTAGGAGGGATGAAACTAGTAAAACAAAGCAGATATTTGGGTCTCCCGATGGTCATAGGAAGATCTAAGAGACAGGTGTTTAGTTATATTAGGGAAAAAGTTGTGAGCCGATTGGGAGGATGGAAGGAAAAGGTTCTAAGTCAGGCGGGGAAAGAAATCATGTTGAAGTCTGTTATTTTGGCTCTTCCTACCTATGCAATGAGCTGCTGCAAATTGCCCAAAACTTTATGTAAGGATATATGTAGACAGATGGCAAAGTTCTGGTGGGGGGATAGTGAGGAGGCAATGAAAATTCACTGGATTGGCTGGGATGAGTTGTCTGAAGTGAAAGGGAAAGGGGGCTTGGGGTTTTGGGATCTCCAGTGCTTTAATAAGGCTATGCTAGCTAAGCAGCTTTGGAGAGTGTTGACGAATCCAAGTCTTCTAGTTAGCAGGGTTATCAAGGGTAGATATTTTAAAGGAACCTCTATTTGGCAGACAAAGGAGAGAGGTGGTGATTCCTGGATGTGGAAAAGTATCCTTAGTTCTAGGGACCTATTAGAAGAAGGAGTAAGGAAGAGAGTTGGTGATGGAAGCACGATTAACATCTGGAAGGACAAATGGATTATGAATAGTGGTAATGGAATGGTACAATCCAGGAAACCAGAAGGATGCCAGACTTCAAAGGTGCAGGAATTGATCAGCAATGGCAGATGGAGAAAGGATTTGTTGCAGACATTGTTTAGTGAGGATGATAGTGCTAGGATAGGGAGCATCCCACTGAGTACGTGTGGAAGCAAGGATAGACTGGTTTGGCCAAGGTCTATCTCTGGACAATACACAGTTAAAACTGGCTATGTAATGGCTAAGGAGTTGAATAACAGGAAGGAGCAGACAAAGTATAGGGAAGGGAATCACAGTAGAAATGAAGGAAATTCTGAAGCCTGGAAATTCTTATGGAGTTTAAACACCAAACATAAACTTAAACATTTTATATGGAAATGTGTAAGGGGAATACTGCCAGTCAATGAGGTGCTGAAGAGAAGAACTGGAAAAGGAGATGGAAGATGTGTTTGCTGTGGAGAGAATACAGAAACTCTGGAACATATGTTGTTTTTTTGCAGACATGCAGAATTGATTTGGAAAGCAGCACCTGTCAGCTGGGATGGACTGTTGGACTTCAGACACAACTTTTGGCTTTGGTGGAATAGCCTTATGGAAGCCAAAGAGAGAGTTGAGGGGAGGGATCACATAGTTCTTACTATAAATATTCTTTGGCAGGTGTGGAAGTCCAGGAATAGTATCCAGTTTAACAGAGAGGGAAGGTGTCCTGGAGAGATTGTGAATAAGGCAATGCTGGAATGGTTAGAGTATAAGAACGTAGGGAGTGGGGATTATTCTAACAGAAAAGTAGGGGGGGACAAAGCTATGAAAGGTGGTAGGTGGTCATTACCACCTAAAGGCTATATAATCATGAATACTGATGCCAGTCTAAACATACAAAAGCAGAGAGTGGGGAGGGGGATTGTGGCCAGAAAGGATGATGGTGGTTTGATTGGGGCATGGGCAGATAGTGAGGACAAACTGGGGGAACCGGCTGTGGAGGAAGCTCTGGCTATCAGGCAGGCTTTGAACATTGCAAAGCAAAAGGGTTGGAGAAAGGTCCTGATACAATCTGACTGCAAAGGTATAATTGACAAAATTAATGCGAGAAAGGCAGAGGATCCACATATTGGAGTCATTCTTTTTGATATCTTGAAGCTCAGACAAGTTTTCACAGAATGTTCCTTCTCTTTTATCAAAAGAGAAGGTAACTTTGTAGCTCACCACTTGGCAAAATTTGCCATTAACTTGATGAACGACTTTGAGTGGCAGGAATTTTTTCCTGATTGGCTGACTAGTTTAGCTAGAAATGATGTAGGAGCAAGTGCTCCAGCTTTGTAATCTTTGTTTCATGATTAATGAATCTCTTATCGTTTGAAAAAAAAAAAATAATAAAAGCATAAGAATATGCAAGGGATGACAAGAGTATTTTCATTAACTCCATTGGTGACTGAGATTTTTATTTCTACTTGCTGAATTTAGTCGATTGCAACGATTGTAAGAAATTAAAGTTTAAAGCAATTAAGTGCTGAAATTAAGAGCTGGGGGGTCCAAAGTGCAATCACAGCATAGTTTGAGGCCGCAAAGTGCAATCAACACTGAAAACGTAATTAACCCTTTTTTCAAAAGAATTTCTTTCCCTACTCTCTCCTCAACGGCTACGTCTAATTCCAGAGCCTAAATTAGTAACTTCAGCAAAATATGGGCGAACTTCAACAGCTGTATTACCTACCCCCACCTCCACTGCCACCACCAACGGCACCGCCGCCGACGCCGCCTCCACCGCTGTCATCACATGATGAACGTTCTCCATCTGCTTCACATCAAGAGCCTCCTCCTTCTCCTCGCTTCGATCCTAGCCGAAGTATGTTTCCTTGTCCTTCCCTTTTAATTAAATTATTATTACCCATTATTTATGTGTTTCTTGATACTTATAGGAACCATTTTGTCTAAATTCTCGAAAGCAAGAACTATTTTGGGATTTTGTCTCATTTTTTTAACAAGTTTTGAAGTGATGGGCTGCTAACTATATTATAGTTCCTGGTAATAAGTAAGATTTGAAGTTTCTTAATATTGTTGTTTGGAGTTTTTTTTTTTTTTTTTTTGTAATTGTGCAGGGAGGGGGACCCTTTTTGAATTTCTTGATGTGTTTTTGAGATGCTGAAGTTGGTGTTTGTGGGATTTGGTTAGATAATTAGAACTGCTCATTGAGATATGTTTCGTAACGACTATTAAGAAGTGCATCAACTGCAATATTTAGTATTCGAAATTTTTTTTGAAAATACTGTCAAAATTGGTTCCTGTACGAGAATCAGGTGATTGAGAATTGAGAAATACATGCGGAACTGTTAGCTTTTGAAAAGGATGTGATCTTATTATTTGTTCAAAACTCCAGAAAAAGTTTTTTTCTGTTATTTTTAAGAAGAAATCTTGACAACAAATGCTATGAAGGCGATTAGTACTCCCTTGAATGAATAAAGACAAGAAAAATTTAAAAGAATTGAAAAAAGAAAGAAATTTTCCTTGAAGTAATTTCAGAAGAAAATGTTAAAAACTCTTGTGAACTCAATCTCTCGGAGTTTTCTCTCCCTTTCCTTCTTGGTCTGTTTTCATGGGTTCTATTTTATTTGTTTTTCAAAAATATGATTGTCCAAATATTATCGAGTTTTTGGTTCTGGAGTCAACTTGTGTGGAATCGGACAATTATCACCAACTTTTGACTCAGTGAGTCGAATCACCAAGAATTGTCCTAAGTCCTACTGAGCTACTTCAAGTCTAGCGTCTCCGTCACAAAGGAGTATGTTATCAGGGTGATCATGTTCTGGTCAGGACTTGGCCGAGCCCTTGGACTGTGTATATGAGAATTGCAAGTTTTGTTGGGGTCATTTGAAGGTTCATCTAAACTTTGATTGTTGGAGCATTCAATAGTAACGAATTTTACTTGTTTTGATGCTTTGTAGTTCTCACTTCACTTTCTCCCTGCTGATAGTGATAATGAAAGTCATGCTTTAATTTCCTTGTTTGAGGCATTATGAAGTCTAGTATATATGTGTATATATGTGGTGGTAACAATAGATAAAAAGTACAATAGATTATTTTTTTGGATAATTATTGGAGAATAAATAATGGACTTCCAAGTTTTCATGAGTGAATTCTTCATTCTATGTGTTCAATTGCAGTATCCTGTATGAATAGGAATGTGAAAAACTGTGAGCTGATATTGTGGAATCTGTTCCAAACCATATTTGAAAGCAAAAGAAATCTATCTGGCAGTTAAATTTGTGAAAGTTACTTCTTGGAAATTCACTCGAATATTTAGAGATTGTATCATTTTATACTAAGTTCATTTGAGATTTTGTCATGTCTATATTGTGTTTTGAGTTTGCTTTTTTGTGGGTTTTGTATTGTTGAAAGCAATCTAAACAAAAGCTGCTGCATATATGGATGTCTATTATCTAAGCAGCTTTGATGCTAAGATGTTTTTAAGACATGCACATGGTCTCAAATTATGAAATATCATACATGGTAAACCTCTATCTTTTTTGAGCAACTTACAAAGTTGTACCATGAACAAGACCAAGCACTCAAAGGTTTGGAAATTGAGTTGGCATCCATATTTAGGAATCAGGTGATTGCTATAAGAATGCCTAGCCTTATGGTGTATTTGCACAGTGGGTTGACTGGGTTCCCGGACTAAAGTTCTGTCTTAACAGGAGATTGGTTTGGATATAGAGTTGTTTAGTTTAGCTTCTAGAAAACAAAATGAAGGATATATTACTTACAGAAAAGGAAAATTGTAGTGAGCCTTTTAGATTATGAATTATGCTTTATCTGACATGTTACATTTCCTTTAATCTTTTGAAGTGGTTGGTATAATAAGAAGAAAGGCATTGATAAAGGATCTGGCTGCGGTGTACCACGCGGAGTGCCTAACATACTGCCAGGAACTTTTGGAACTCCAAAGCAAATTAGAAGAGGTTAGTCTAACTGGGCGTCAAATATTTCATGTTATAATCCAAGTTTGTTTATTATATTAAATGGTCTCAATGCTGAGCAATTGGCATCTTATCTTTTTCTTTTCTTGTTAACTGTTTCTAGTGGCTTATGAGATGACGTAAACTAATGGGCTACCACCAGGGTTACCTAAATTATGCATGCCCAGTTTAGAGGAGTTTCATATTGGTTGTCACATCTCTTTCCTATGTTGTCCTTGTTTTCTGAATGTGTTCGAATTTCCTTTGTACTGGTTGCTTGCAAAAATGCTAAAGAACTCATGAAAAAATAGGTTCAGGTGAAGGGCTTGATTGTGCGAGTATATTGTAGTGTAAACTGTCTAAACTAGATGGCTTAAGGAGATCATAAGATAGTGTCCATAAAATTTAAAAAAATAAAAAAAAAAGGCTGAAAGGATGCTTCTGGGGTGATGAAAACTTCTGGGAACAATTATAAAGATAATAGGGCTGCTTGGGTGAATTGGCACTACGAGCTAATTGGGAGCTTGTTTAGTTTTATGATTAGGAAGAGGTAAAATTTGTCCTTTGGATCACTTCTAAAATAATCATTGGCATCACACCTAGTTTCAGACTTGAGTTACAGGATTTGACAAAATCACAACAACTGGAAGAGGTTCTTCATTAGAATAGGAGTGATGTATGAGTTAGAATTTAGAACCAGAGAAAGCTGGGTTTTTCTCTAATTGACCAAGATTCAATAAACACTTTGTACGTTTTCTGAGATTTAAAATTGCAGCTTGTGTCCAACTAATTTCAGATTATGATGCTAAGAACCTAGATAAATGTTTAGGAAAGCATACTAAGGCAAATGAAATAATTCAAGATACTTTAATGCAGCTTGTTATTGCTCACAGGTTACCTTTTCTCATGTTACAATGCATGAGTTACTGTAGCTATTGGTCTTTAAGTTATATTAGGACTTTAACTGTTATTTCCTTCGATACCTTGATTCGGGTCCTAGTTTTATTTAGTTTCCCCTTGTTTTGATTTCTAGACGAGCAAGGCTTTCAATTTGAATGTTTTTTTTTGTTGGGCTTCTACACATTAGTCCTTTTGGCTCTGCATTGAACTTATTTTGGTTTTGGGTTAATTACATCTAGACCCCTTGTAGTTTGACCAAATAACAACTACATCCCCTGGAGTTTGAAAATAACAATCATCTCCTTTGATATGATATTTGCATAGCAAACACCCCCTCTGCATCAGAAATCTAACATCCGTTTTTCTCAGGTCCATTAAGGAATGGTGTGAAAATATCAAATTGCCCGTGTAGATTTTGTAACATAGAATTTTCCTATTTTGTATGATTTTATTCTTGTCATTTGAGGAATTCTAACAAAAAAGAACTACTGCCAAGAAAAATCATAAAATCCATGGGAACATCGATCTCTTCATCACCACCATTACTCATCTTCACCACTGTCAAACCCCAAATCCAGAACCTTAAAGCCTTCCAAATCATTAAAAGATGAGAGACACAAGAATCGCATTGAGAAGAAATCTCATAAGCCCTTCAGCAATTCATATGATCCATAGGCATCTATCACCCTCCTTAACCCCAAAGTCACTGGGAAGCACTGTTAAATTGCACAACGATCCACCTTAAATATTACTTCTCCATCTAGAACATCAAAGAAAGAGGTGGAATTTTATGGTGCAGTTCTTATTGAGGAATTTGTCCTTATATTGTTCACGAGGAGATAGATGATTTGGATATTTTGGTTACCTGGGTTTATGGTGATATTCGAGTATAATGATTTGGAGTTTTGGATATTTGGTTACCTTGATATTCAGAGTTTAATTGCGGATCACTCAGGCTCGTGTTTTTGATGTTTGATTGCTGGTTGGAGATGGCAAGGGTGGTTGCTGTGAATTTAGGATTTTGGAAGCAAGCAAAGTGTGCATTTGATTGATTTTCTCATTCTGATCTTCATTTAACTTGAACTCTTGGGGTGAGTTTGGTGGTCCCAAGGGAAGAGAAGGTCAAGGATTTAATAGGTATATTAGTATTTGGTGGAGGTTTCACCACTGCCGTAGGAAGGATTTCATGGTGGCACTAAGGAGGGAGGTTGTTGGTGGGCTTTTGGAATAGGGCTTCTGATGGAGATTGAAGATTTCTGTGATACAATGTGAATCTGATGAAAGATGCAAAAAATGAAGTCGCATAGTCATTTTTTCCTTTTCTGTAAAGATGGGTTTTGGTGCTTCTTTTAATTTTTAATTTTTTAGTTGTCATTATTTTTTTATTGGTTTTAGTTCAGTGCATTTTAGTCCCAAAATGAGTAATTTAACACCGTTTGGCATCAGTTAAGTCAAAGGGGATAACTGATATTTTTTAGACCTTAGGAGGTGGAGTTGTTGTTTGGTCAAACCACAATGGGTGTGAATGTAATTGACCCTTTGGCTTTTTGTGATTAATGGATTTTTGCCTGGATATTCTAATTAATGGTTAAAGTCAACCCCATAATCAAGGTTATCTCTTGGTTTACCAAAATATGAGCTTGATCATGAATGAAATTATTTTCTGGATTTTTCTTGCTATTACCTGCGTGAATTGGCATTAAAGCGGATGTTCCACAACTTGGTAGATCTTTGAGCAGCTTAGGCTCAAGGAGATTGAAGGATGTATTGGGTGCATATTGCATCAGATGGGCAGAGTGAAGCATTTAGAAGCCAGGGAACCTCATGTTAAGAGCAAGGCAATGATAAAGTTTTGGACATATGAGAAGGTAGGACGGAGAACTATCCCCATGCGTCATGTATGGACGGTTCAGGAATGCAGCAATTATGGCCCCTGTTGTGATGTTCACCCACATGAACTTAATGACATTCTTCTCAGCTATCTATCTACGTCTTTAGAACTTCAAGTGGGAACTCTTATCTCTAGACAGCAGTAAGCTACTAGATGTTCCTGCCATTTGTTAGATTGACCTAGAATTAAGAAAAAGATATTTACTTTATGCCTATAATGATGTAAAGAAGCCCCAACAACATGGGATGCAACTAACTTTGGTGAAATGCAAGCCAACATGATGTTGACAAAATCTCTTCTCAGTCATCTTACTTGCAATTTAGTTGCTGCATCCTTGTGTTTATGGCGCCCAACTTTGAATGGTTGATACAGGAAGAGAGCGAAAAAAAGAAAAATTGGAGGGGCTTGATTGGAACTCCATTTGATTGCGTTAAGAACAAACAGAGCTTGAAGTGTAAGTTTTATCTGCAAGCTTGAAAATTTTTGGATGCTAGCGATGATTCTATAGATTGACTATTTAATGTTGTTGCTGGGTTGAATGGATTAGCTTGATAGGCTGACTTTTTGGTGGTGCAATGCAAAATGAGGTCAAGGGCGAGTTTTCCTCAAACCCAGTCTTATTGTTCGTGGGTACTATTCTGTTAGTTATTGCAGCACTAGGTTTTTAAGCTATTTTAGGTCTTGACTGTATTTTTCCTTTACTTTTGGGTTCAGGATTCCTCTTTTTTATTGCGTTCCCTTTTATGGTGATTTCTTTTTCAGGGTAGAGTTTTAGTTAGACCCTTTTAGGGTTCCCCTTCTATATATCTGTGCTTTTTAGTTCTGGCTGTGCATTTAAATTTTTCAGTTTTTTCGTGATTACAGTAATTGCCATTTCTGATAAGTTTATTGTGTAGAACTTCTGAGTTTGTTGTTTTAAATTCAGCTGCCTAATCAAGTTTTTCCCTTGGTTTTCCCTGAAAACCTTTAATCAACTTTGTTGGTTTTCCCATGTCACATTCCCAGGAGGTTGATTCTGAAGATGAGCTATGATAGAGCTTACGTCAAATTTTCCAAAATCTTGAACTTTTGTTTCCCTTGAATTGGTTACCTGCTGCATCATATTGTTAGTGAATTCAAGAACAGACATTTGCCAGTCTACAACTGGCACAGATTGCAAATTCTAATCACGAACAGTTGTAGAATGCCTTACTCAATATGAGCCTAATTAGACATTATATTTCGAAGTTGAATATGAATAGTAATAGGTCTGCACCTCAAGGTTAATGCACATTGCCAATCTCACAGAGAGGAATATGTAGTTTAATGAGCTCCAACTTATCTATGTAACCTTGTTTAGCTTTATTTCCTTCAAGTTTTATAGAATTTGCTTCATTGTGTTTGAAATGTGCGTTCAAGCTTTTGTAGCTTACTTTACATGCAATGATAGGACAAAGATTATTAATTATGTTAGCAGATGAATTTAAGTGCTCCTCATTATGACACAAAAAAAATAATAAATACCATCAATTCCAGTAGATATAAAGTAGTATGTGAAACCTTCTTGGATTAGGTTCTGAATGGAATTACCACTGCCAGACACACAAACACCCAAAAAGAAAGAAGAAATTAAGAAATAGGTAGAATGTTTTTTATGCTTTGCTCTTTCTGTTGTCTTCTAACTTTAAGATGATGAAATAAAATTTGAGAGTTTCAGCAAAATAATGTGATAGGGTGATCTAAATTTTGATGTATTCACAGAGTAATTGACAGGAGCCTTGAACTTCAAGTTGTTCTATTTGCTGATATAATTTTCAGTGGACAAACTGAGGGAAGAGTTTAAAGAAGTACAATACACTAGAATTTAATTTAAAGGTGAACTTTTTCCAAAAGTAATGTTTTCAATTATGTAGGCACGGTTTTAGTGATCACCATTTTAATCATTTACTTTTTATTTTCTATGAAATTGATAAATTCATGTATCTTTTTTCACCTGACTCAAACTTCTGAAATTAAGTTAATAGAATGGTCACAAGTAGCTACTTCACAGACATTTATTGATCACAAACACAAATAAAGCAAAAAGTAAGAAATCTGATATGGCCACATGCTGGAATGAGTAATAATTCAAATAAAAAGTGAAACCTGGGCATTGTGATAGGCTCAGTATTTATTATAAGCTAAGATCAGAGGAGTACATTATGAGACATGTTAGGCAACAGGCTAAGATTCCAGGTAGTGTGGATTTGAGTATATTTTGGGAAGAGTTGTTATGCATCATGACTGGAAAACATTGACCATGCTTAGGATAAACTCAATTTAATTAGTTGAGCGGAGCTGGGTAATCTTTTCAAAACTCCATTAAAGTTTCTTCAATCATATAGCTCCATTATCTTGTAACAAAAAAGAGCTAAACTCGTCTGTGGTGAAGATGTATGTTCTTACTGCAACGTTTCTCACTATAACTGAATACTTAGCTTATCTTTATGAGCATTGATCTTTTTATTGGAAAATCAGCTTAACATGTTGCATTTCCTCGGCAATGCTTGCAGTCTCACACAGATCTGAAAATTCCAGAGAATTCCAAGAAAGAAACCATAAGGCCCCCAAAACGCCTGAAGAAATCTCGTTGACTATCATTACAATTGTAAGGTTCATCCTTTTTTTTTTCCATTTGTTCTCTTTGTATGCAACTAAGACCAAAAGTGTACACTGTGGAGGAGGATTAAAATAGTGTTAAAGAATCTGGTCCTGAGCAAATAAAGAACAGGTGTTGAAAGGTCACTATACCTGATTTCAGTTTTCTTTTGGGGCAGTGTGCACTAGTGTAAATATCTTCAAAAGCTGGAGCTACTGGTGAGCCTTATGGTATAGCATGGCTGGTTGACCTTTTACTCCAATCTGTAATGCATGAAATTCTTGAAATTGAAACTTATACTAAGCTGCTCAAAATGAACTTTCTTTGTAGAAACTGAAACAGGGTAGTCAGAAAGTTTGAGAGTTTGATCTTCATACTGCTGGACAAAATATTATGACTTGGGAAATTTGAAGATGTTGCATTCTGTGATTGTAATAGAGGAACAGAATAACCCTGTTTACATGTGAGATCATCGACAGAGAAGAGGAGGTAGATGCTAGTAGTTCCCCTGGCTTTGCAGATTGGATAGGTTAAATTTGCTTATTTTCACTGGTTGCATATCGCCTGGCTGTTTTTGTGGCGCTAGAAATGTTGAAATGATGTTTTTGGTGTAAAAATTGATAGAACCTGTATGTATCAAATTAGTTTAAAGCATTCTCTTAATTAGTGAAGAATGCACTTCTCAGAAAGTCATCTATTCATGTTATCTAATTTTAAGATGAAGAAGAGCCTATTTTTACACTTGGATGTGGTTGTTTTACTTTTGCAGGTAACTTATGCAGAACTATTATACTACTCTTCATTATACTTCTATTTTGAACTCTAATTGCATGCTGGCTGTTTACCTTGTTTGATAGATGGACCATATGAGGAAATATATAATTGGAATGTGTGCAAAGATTTGGATTCCATCAGCAATATGCTCAAACTTGGTTTCAATTAAATCAGTGAATAAGTGGATTCTAACGCAATTATACTGTTTATACTACAAAAGTTGAAAGATTATATATGTAACGTCAAAAAAGCTGAGGACTCCAAGGCTCTTATGTTTGCTCAATTTATCGAGTTCAATCCACTATTTGTTTGGTGCCAAATCGGGAAACTGGGCAAACGCAGAATACAGGTGGGAGCGATTTCCAGGTTTTTACTATGTTTTTATTGCTGATGATTGCTTTTGCTTCTTGGAAGCAACCCAAAACTGATCACATCCTGCAATCATGTTGTAAAACCTCAGGAGAAATAATAAGCGAAAGCAAGTCCTCTTTGCTACCTTGCCTATTGCATCCACTGGTTTCCCTTTTGTGAAATGGCGCCTGACAATTTTAAAAGCAACTCTTGTTAATAACTGGTACCCTAAAAAGCTTTTATATAGGTCTCTTTTTTCCTTTTCTGCTCGTCCATCCAAACCTAAATTCGCATGATATTTCAGTCAATAAGTTGAAATTTTATATCTAGTTCTTTAGACTTTCGGCATTCAAGCTCAATTCTCTCCATGCAACAAAGAATCAAGAAAGTACAAGGAACCGGCTGATACAAAGAACTGTTGCCAACCGAGGGTGTGAATTGAACTGGAGAAAATACTCAATAGCCATATTTGGCAGTTAAGGTGGCCCTTGAAACCTTTGTTGGAGGCATCATTGGCGGTCTTCCCATTTGTGGCTTTGACTTGAGTGTAACTGCAGCGCAAACAGTATAAGAACTTATTCCCATTGCGAGAAGAACCTTGGGATTGATTCATCAAACTTTGTGCTTATTCCTTTTTACTTTTTGGTGCCATTTATTCTGCCGCTGATTCATTTACTAACTATTCATCTCCTGCTGCTAAGACAACTTTGTCATCTCCCACTGTATTCCTATAATAACTCCTTAGATTGTCCAAACTTGTCTAAACTTATTTTAGTTTCCTTATTTCATCTCCTATCATCTATTATGATTTCAGGAAGTAGTAGAGGATTTCAACAAGTGCTTATACGGCACATTTTCAATGAAGCAATTGGTTTGCAGAACCAACTACTCTTAGAGTAGTTATCCACCAAAAGAGTTAGAGTTAGAGTTAGAGTAGTTGGTTACCAAGAGAGCTTTAAAACTCTACTTAGGTATAAGTCAAGGGATCCCTTGACCTGCATTTTAAAAATCCAGGCTTTCCTGGAGATTTTGTCAACGAGTGCGTCAGCGCCCGTCTAGACTAATGATGGTTCAATTCCCTCCAATTTCTTCGGAAAAAAAAATTGATTTGCAAATTTTTTAATTTTTTGGCGGTAGAGAGTTTGCAGCATCAACAGGAGGATTTCATTTTGTATTCTGATTTCCCTCTAGGAAATTTTACCATTTACTTGGATGATTTGAGGGCAACCTCATATCCCACGATTACCGTAAATCATACATCTGATCATATTTAATGCTAGTCATTTGACTTGCTACAAAAACAAAGATTAGAAAAAAAAATTGTAAAGCCCTAGCTCAAGAAGTCAGGTGAGCCCTTGTCCTTGATATCATTTTGCATAGGATTTGCAAAAGCTTAACATGTTTCTTGCTTTTCCTCTTTTGCTACATTACCATTTTGCTTGAAGGGAAAAGCAACTATATTAGAAATTAGAATAATTTCACAGTTGCCATCTTGGGCATCTTAAAAATTCATGCAACAGTATATAAAGTCACCACAAAAAAAAAGGGAAGTGGATGAACAAAAGTTATATTGCCTTTGTTTAGAAAGATGGATCCGTCTACAGTGGGAGCTGTACAGCACTTCCTGCTATACGAAGTGGGTATGTGTCAAAACAAGGAATGGACACATGGGATGATATGAAATTTAAATTGGTTTGTAGTTAGGAGACCAAGTAGGGTGGATGCACTTACAAAGCGCCTAAATGTGACAGTTAATATTCTTAATTCCAATTTTCTTTTATTTCTTTTTCCATCTTTTCATTTTCTTTTTAGACCTTTTCTTTCATCAGTTGCATTTCGTGTAATTATTTTTCCTTTATATATATATATATATATTAATTTGCCGTTCAATTCCCATTTTAGTATGTTATTCAATTGGCTGCTTTCATGTATTACTTAGTGGACGCTCAATATTTTCACCATGTGGCCATATTTAATGATAAATACTCTGTATGCAGTATATTTTGTGGCCATATTTATGAGATTTTAGTGATATTTTGATCTAATTCAAGTGTTAAAGATGTTATTCTCTTAGAAGTTGATGGTTGAGCTTTGTGATTAAATGTTAAAATTTTTGTCTCTTTTTACTTGTTTGGTTGGTTGATTTTGTAGGAAAAGGGACAAAAGATCTGAATAAAGTTTGGTCATCAAAATAAGCAAAGAAAGCAAGACATGATTATATGCATTAAAAGTGATCATGAGGCAGGGGAACGAAACCTTATGAAGTTTCTGCTGAGGATTCCAGGCAGAATGGATTCTCTGATTCGTTTCAAAATTTTTGCAAAGAAACCAGCCCAGAAACGTCATGAGGCTGCCTCGGTTTCTTCTGAGGATTCTTTCAACCAAAAAATTCGTGCAAGTTGCATGCACAACTTGTGCAATTTGGTTCCTTTGGTCATACACTTTCTTGCTTTGGAATGAAAAATTAATTAGACATTTTGGTGGTTAGAAGATCAAGTTGAAGCAATTTCAAGAATATCTTTGTGTCAATTCAAATCATCTAAAATCATCTAGATTCCATGGAGCCACTGTCTTTAACTTTTGAACACAACTTTTATTTTGTATTCACATGGAAGAAATGGTTATCTTTTGTCTTGCATAGAACAATGAAGGGTTATAAATAGGAGTAATACTTAGACATAAAGAGAGGTTGGCTAGTTAGCTAGTAGTTATCTCAGTGTTAGTAGTAAATTCTAGTTTTGTTAAAAAAAAAAAAAAGAGCAAAATTGAAGATCTCTTGGTGAAGAACTACTTATGTACCAAACTTGAAGAACAAGGTTGTAAAGAAGAGTTTGAAGAGCTTGTTTTAAATAAGATTTCATCAATTTTTACTCTTACTTCTCCATGTTATTCATTTTCTGTTATAAGAGTAACATGTGCCTTAACATATCAAATTTCATGATTAACTAAACTATTTGTTCATAGGGATAAAGATGAGCTTGTAGTTTTTTTGACTTGGTGTTAATTTGTGTTGAACTTAGCTATTTTGTGACTTGTTAGTTTATGTATTTGTACTTCATATTTACAGATATTAGATCACCAATTATGAATCAACCAAACATGTGTTTGTGCATAGAACTTGTCTTGCATGTGTAGTTCAAAATATATAAATCCTAAATTACATGTACATGTTAGTAGGTGATGGATTTAGGTGGACTCAAGTTTATAACTTTATTGTACTTCATGAGCTTGTGCTAGATTAATTCATGCAAGTAGTTGAAGATTAAGTATATGCCCTGTTTGATAATCCAATTTAGCACTTAATTTAATGGATTCAGATCTTAATATATTCAGACCATTAGATAACCAAAAATTGAACATCTGAATTAATTAAGTGGCACTGAATTTCCTAAACAAAACTTGCTCTCAAAATTAAGTGATAACCTATTCACTTATCACTACTGAATGTGATATGCACTCAAATATATTAAATTTAATAGTTAACAATTCAATAACATAATGGATTTAGATTTTAAATTTTAGATTTCAGACTTCAGTTTTATCAAACAAAAGTTTGTTTGTTTGTGAGAGCAAATTACAAAATGATTTAAAAATTTACCTTCTTAATAAGTCACAAGTCTATGGTTTAGATCAACCAAATTATTTGCCTACCTTGAACTACAAGAGATTCATAACCCTTTTAAATTTCTTCAACACGGTTTTTAGTTACAAACTTTTCATTTAGACTAGTATTGTCTAAAGTAAGTTTGTCTTTATTTGTATTCTTAATTGTTTAGATAATAAAGTAAGTTTAAAAAGTTGTAGTGGTTATGTGATTTTTGAGGTACCGCCTTTAATTATCCTTATCCTTGTCTCGACCTATGTACTTGCGAAAAAGTGAGATAATTGGACTTAATTAATTGGATAATTGAAAATTTTAACTTGGAAGATTGAGGCACGTCATTTAATTTTTTAAATTTGAGTAGATTTTAAGTGTTTTATTTTTTGTAACAATCAATTCCATCCACTTTTTTCACTCACTTATTCTCCTCTTCTTTTTCACTTCCTTAACTATCTCAATTTTTAGTCAATTTATTAATTTATAGTTTTATAAAGTTTGTATTTTGTATTAATTATGCCTTCTGAAACATTTTTAACAAAAAAAAAACCATTTTATCAATCTATTCATAATTTTTCTATCCTTTCAATTCTCCTAACTCACATTTAATTTTCTATTCTTATTATTTGGTTTGATAATATATTATTATTACCAAAATTTGAATAAATTTCATTCTTTCTATAATTCAATACATTTATGAAAATTTCAATGGATCTATTAATTCATAGTTTTGACACGTATTTTAAACACTATTCAATTCCTACTCTAAAAGATTGTTAAATTAGATATTTTTCATGTTTTGCAAAGTGAGAGGTCTCTCACGAACCACGCAGACAAACTTAGTGTTCGTGTTTCTTGATGATTTTTATTCTTTTTTTTTTAACAATCAATTTCACTCCTTTTTTACTTATCATGTCACACACACATATAATAAAATTTAGAGTAAATTGCGAGAATGATCACTAACCTTTTTAAAATGGTACAGTCTGGTCATTGAACTTTTCTTTTAGTTAGAAAG